CCTCACAGGGGTTATACAGCATTATACAAATATATTTGGGGCCAATACAAACCATTGTTGGGAAATCTATCAATTAACAAGACTACTCATAGGACATGAGGTCACGCATTTACAGTGGAAGAAAATAGATTTAGTCTAAGGCAAAGGAAAGTGTTTTTTACAGTTAGAACAATAAGGATGTGGAATTCTCTGCCTGAAGAGGTGGTTTTATCAGTCTGTACAGAGGTTTAAACAGCAACAGTGAGAACAATAAGGATGTGGAATTCTCTGCCTGAAGAGGTGGTTTTATCAGTCTGTACAGAGGTTTAAACAGCAACTGGATGAATACTTGCAAAAACATAATATTCAGGGACATAATTTTGTGTATGTGGGGTATAACCTTCTTGATCCAATGAGAGACCAGACTGCCATTCTGGGATCAAGAAGGTTTATTTTGTTGCAAATGTGACAAGCGCTTCAAAGTATTTTTTTTTTCCCCCTTCTTTGGAATGAACAGCAAAATCAGATTTGAGAAAGGCTGAACTTGATGGACGTATGTCTCTATTCAGCATAATATGTAATATGGTGGTGGATTACTTTATGTGCTGGTGAATTGCACCTACACTTAGTTTATGGGTCCAAGAGCATGCAAAAGTCCCAAATTTCCCTTTTATGATTGTATACATATAATGTTTTTACAAACCGAATGGAACGGTTAATTGACCAGTTAAAAAATATATATATAACTGATTATATTGACTTCTATATTTTTTTATTTTTTTATTTATATTTTTTATTTTTCAGTATGCATAAATGAAAAACAATAATTTCTCCTATTTTGGTATGCAAGGATGAACAACAATCGTTTCTCATATTTCAGTTTGTGTAGATGAACAACAATCGTTTCTCGAATTGCTAGACCTGTCAGGATGATTATAAAACAATTTGTCATTTTGAGAACGGGTTAACAGTATCATTGGTTTCGTAGAACGTATCGATGCGTAGACAATATACCAACAGTGTATATGATGTGGCTTCATTTCGGTTTACAATGACACAATCAAATAACTATATGTATCGGAGATAGTACGAATATGTATCCAGTCTATGTTGTCTGCGTCAGAATTCGTGTGTGATAGCAGTGATTAGAGAAATCGTTAGGTTCGTCCTTGTTGTAAGGTTTTTTGTCATGGTCTGCAGCTATTGTGCATAGTGTTAACTTTCGGTCTTACCGTGGAGTGCTCTCGATTGTGTCCCTTTCCCTACTCCTGATTGTTTCTGTCTAGAAATAGGTTCCAAGGTTCCCAGGTTTGTTTATAATGTGAGTATCTATGGGTGAGTGAGAAGGTGAGTTCTTCCATAACCCTAGTATCCTCCACTTTTTGTATTCATTCCCTAACTGAGGGTGCGAGAGTCTGTTTCCATTTTATAGGTATTAGTAAGTTTGCTGCCGTCAGTAGATGGTGGATGAGGTGGAGTTGTGGCTTAGGGATGTCAGAGGGGGGCAGCAAGAATAGGTATGATTCTGGGAGGAAGGGTAATGAGATGTCTGTGATGTTTTTAATCAGGTCTGAGATTTTTTTCCAGAATGCATTTATTATAGGGCAAGACCACCATATGTGTGCTGATGTAGCTGGGGTATGATTGCATCTCCAGCAGGAGTTACGGGTGTTTGAGTATATTTTACTCAATTTGTCTGGTGTATAATGCCATCTGGTAATTTTTTTGTAGTTACTTTCTTGTATGGTGTTATTCGTTGTAGTAGAGTGGCCCTTGGTTAGAATTTTCGTCCAGTTGGGGTCAGGAATTGATGTGTTCAGGTCGGACACCCATGTTTGTGTGAAGGGTGGGAAACTAGTATTATTGTCTTTTTGGAGGAGTTTGTACATAGTTGAGAGGTGTTTGCTTTTGATCCCCTGTGTTTGGCATAAAGTTTCGAACTCAGTCTGTGGCCGGAGTGTCGTTAGGAGGGTATTGTCGGCCTTAAGAAAGTGTGTCAATTGTATTGGCTTCTATATTGACTCCTATAAGGTGACCATTTTTTCTTTAGCTTAGAGATTTACAAAAATAAATAAAATAAACATAAAAAAACTCAATTATTATGGGCATCTGCAGGCTACAGTTTACATTTTCAATTCATGTCACATATTAGCATAGTGATGATACTTCTGGAAATTCATTTTACAGCTCAATTTATTGTTATCCCCAAGTGTATTACACTATAATACAAAATCACCACAGTGATGAGAGTAATATCACTGAACTATCAGAAATTTATAATAATGTTTCTCCATGCAGAGCAGTGTCAAGAGTGCTAAATACATTGTATACTTCTATTTGCTCAATATAGCTTTCACCACTGTATAAACTATGTAACCTAATGTGGACAGTGATAATGTATTTTATTGTAGGACTTGGTTGGGAATACATTTTGAATTTTGCAATTACTACACTTCATTATGCTAAAATATATAATTTCTTTAATTTTCAAGACTTGTTGCTAGTTAAAGTTGAGATTGAGTTAAAGGAGCTCTATAGTGTAAGGGATACAAAGACCCCTCCCCAGGGGCGTACCTAGAGCATTTGGCACCCGGGGCGGATCCTGTGCTTGGCACCCCCCCCCACCCAAAAAAAAAAAACCTGTAAAAAATGTTAAAGGTTTTCTTTCTTTATTTTTACAATTTGTAAACTTTGCAAAACCGCTGTCAGCCCCTCCTACAAAACCCTTGTCCTGCCCTGCCCCTCCTACAAAACCTCTGTCCTGCCCCTTCTACAAATCCTGTACTGCCCCATCTACAAAACCCCCGCAACCCCCTTCCGCAAATCCCCTGCAGCCCCACACACACATTTACAGGCAGACAGTCACACACTCAGTTACAGACACAGTCACACACTCAGTTACAGACAGACAGTCACACACTCAGTTACAGGCAGACAGTCACACACAGTCACAGGCAGACAGTCACACATACACATTTCCTCCGGGCCAGTTTATCAGTTGTTTGCTTGAGTGAGCTGTACTGGCCGCACGGCACCCTAACTACCATGGGACACTGTGCGGCCACAGCTCACACAGCCCCCTCCAGCCAGGGCTGGTACAAGGATTTTTGCCGCCCAAGGCAAAAGTAAAGTTTGCCGCCCCTCATGTGACATCACAATGCCCCAGCCATATGATTTGCCATGTTAACTAACGCCAGTGCTGCAGTGCCGCCGTGTTTACATTAAAAGGCCTGCAGGGACAGGCTATAGACACCAGAACCACTACATTAAGCTGCAGTGGTTCTGGGGACTATAGTGTCCCTTTAATGTGAGGTAAATTAGAGATTAGTGCCACGAATAATATACTAGATTGCCTACTTACAACCAGATGAAGATGATGATGGGCTCTAGCTGCTGTCTGGCTCCACTGGTCTGGTGTAGAACAGGCTCTCTGGAGGCGGTTTGTAACTGTGGTCACAAAAATCACTGTTCTGGGAGAACGGGAAGCAGCTCCATTTTTTTGAGGGCCCTTTACACAGCTCAAGGTCTGGGTCCCAGGGTCCACCTTCATGTTCCACCAATGAGTTTGTTCACAGGGGGTGGAGTGTGTAGGGATGTCCTGATATGTGTGTAAGGAATGCATTGTGTGAAATTGTGTTTGTATGTGTAAGGACTGCAAGGTGTGTTTCTGTGTATGTATGGGATGCATTGAATGTGTGTAAGGGGTGCATTGAGTGTGTGCAATGAATGCATTGTGTGTTTCTGTGTGTGTAAGGGATGCATTGTGTGTAACGGCTGCATTGCTTGTGTATGTGTGTCTGTGTGTGTAATGCATTGTGTGTTTTTCTGTGTGCAAGGGGTGCATTGTGTGTATGTGATGAATGTCAATCTCTCCTCCCGCC